CCCGATGCTTGCGGAGCTCCACGCCCATTAATCAAGCATCTTTTGAAAAAATTCTGAAGTAGACTTAAACCGAAAGTGCCGGAAAATGCCGGGTTTCAGACAAATCCTGCATGTTGTCCCAACATAAATCAATTAAGTTATTCCTTTTTCCAAATTGAAGTGGATTTAACATGAAGCAATTAAGTTGCCCCCCCAAAGATGTAAGAATTGTGTTGTTTCAACTCCTTAAAAAAAGTATAGTTAGAAGGAAATAGTTTGAAGCATTTTGACTTTTATTGTTAGAGTTACACTTTGTTTTAATACTGTAGGCTTTTTGTGAAGTGAGTGGCAGTTGTGATGTTTCTGTGTTGGTTTTAATTTGGAGGTGAGTGACCGCAGCACGGCAGTGTCTAAAGCTTCTCATACTGAAGGGATTGGCCCGAGTCGCTCCCCTGGTGTTGTGATAACGAGCCGCTTTCCCGCAGGTCTAACTGGACCCAGATGGGCCACGGAGAGATCCCGTTACAGCTACGGCTCTGCAGTTCCCCTCCCACCCAAACCATTGGCGTTTCATTGGTGGACTAGGGTGAATGAAGCGCCTCATTGGTGGACTAGAGTGAATAAAGCGCCCTCCTCGATAAACCGCTTGATTGAAAAAAGCCAGCGTGAAGGTTTGAGTGGGAAATACGATCCGGTGCAGGTAACGGTTTGGGGTTTTACGGCTGTCCAAAACACCAGACGTATTTTCAGACACGACTGCGCTCATGTCACATGAAGGAATGCGTGCTTTCATCTTCAGACTCAACAGTAGTTGTTTTTTTTCTTCACTGCCGCCCATGATTTATACATACACTCTAAACACGGTGAAAATTCACCCTCCTGCACAGGATTTCAGTGTAGAGATTGATTTTGTTCGTGCAAGGGTTTTTATTAAATTGCCTCTTGTAGTTCGTGTGTGCCTGGCATGGACTCTACACAAACAGGGAGAGAGACAGCTCTCAGCCCACATGTGGGAACTATTAGTAAGCTACTGTACACCCTGTGTTCCCTTACAAACACAGACTCCTAGATTGTTTGAGGACTGATTGACTCACTTTTACACAGGATCACACACAGAAGCAAACTTTTTTCAGCCATTTTAGTTGATGTGCTTGGTCATACTAATGTGGAAATATGAATCTGTAAGTCACATCAGAATTTACTGTTTAATCCATGTAATGTGTATTTATATAGCGCATTTATTGTGTATGGCCATACACCCAAAGCGCTTCACAATCATGAGAGGGGGTCTCTCCACAACACCACCAGTGTGCAGCATCCACTTGGATGATGCGACGGCAGCCACAGGACAACGTCGCCAGTGCGCTCACCACACACCAGCTATTGGTGGAGTGGAGAGACAGTGATAGAGCCAATTCGGTGGATGGAAGGCCGTGATCGTAAAGGCCGATAGAGGGACTTTGGCCAGGACACCGGGGTTACACCCCTGCTCTTTCACAAGAAGTGCCATGGGATTTTTAATGACCACAGAGAGTCAGGACCTCGGTTTAACGTCTCATCCGAAAGATGGCGCCCACTGACAGTGTAGTGTCCCCTTCATATTTACTGGGGCATTAGGACTCACACAGACCACCGGTTGAGTGCCCCCTGCTGGCCTCACTAACACCACTTCCAACAGCAACCTAGTGTCCCCTAGTGGTCTCCCATCCAGGTACTGACTAGGCTCAGCCCTGCTTAGCTTCAGTGAGTAACCGGTCTTGGGCTGCAGGGTGACATGGCTGTGGCATATGTGTATATCCATAATGCATATTTCTGGTATTCTTTTACAACTTATCATTGCATCAGTGGTGTAAAGTAACTAATTGCAAACACTCAAATTGAGTAGTTTTTCTCAGGAATTGTAATTTACTAAGTAGTTTTATTAATATGTACTTTTACTCCACTGCTTTCCTTCAACCTGCAGTCACTCTACTTTATTTCTTCTTGTCTATGGGGATTAGAAAAATCAGTTCTGTGATTCCTGTCCAAATCACACATAGAAGATAAATCGCATTATAATGAAGTACCTCAGACATGGGCGCTTTGTAATTGCAGCAAACTGTATGGAAGCATTAAACATGTCCAAGAAGATGTGCAAAATCTTTGCATGCATTGACTCAGAGACTTAATTAGATGCTGGTTAGACATTGAGTTTTGGTCACCTGACATAGAGTTTTGGTAATAGGTTATATGCCGAGCTAGTGCTGTTCCCATGCTGATACACTTCCGGTGACCTGTTATTGTGAACTTTTTTCCATTTTATACGGTTCCTTATACAGCATCAATGCTGTAATGTCAATAAAATACATTCAGTTAAATAAACTTTAGCATTCATTTAGTTGCTCAAGCGTAAAACGAGACACAAAGCTGTTTACTCGCACGCGCCCGTCAGAATCGGCAGGCTAACGCAGAAGCTCTATTAAATATACTGGGGTTAAATAAATGCTCAAATTATAAAGATATGCCGTGGGAAATGTAATTTAATGCAGTGCTTCTTGTACAATTTGAGACCCACTTTAAAGCGGATATCACTCAGCTAGTGGAGATCGCTGATTTTTAAAGAAAACAGACCTTAAACGCACCGGATTTTGCATTGGCATTCAATTCGCCTGAAGCGCTTAACCCAGGTTAATGGCAAATTAAAAGTCCTATTAGCATGCTTCGGCATATACCCCATTAAACATAAAAACCTTTCTAAAAATGTATGTTGTTACATGTTATTGTTCATATTTTTTTAAGTGTTATTTCTACCCCTATGAAGATAATAAATACCAACAACCCTTTACAAGAGAAATAATTTTCTGCTCATAGCTGAGTCTAACTCAGGCTACAGTATATGAAAGGTCGTTTATTATAATTTATGTTGTTTTTATTAAAAACAGCTTACATCACACAGTTTTTAAATCGTATATTATTACGTGTTTTTAAATGTAAGTGCTTATATTTATATTAGGGAGCCTTTGTTATTGTGCAGATACCGGCGGTCAAGTGAGAAGTTTCGGGGTGCGTGGTTGATTTGATGTACAAGCGTTTGGTGGGATGCTTGATTCCGCAGCCCCTTCCTCTGGCTCCATCTGGTTATCCCTCCTGCGCATGCCCAGGCTCTGATTTCAGCAGTCTTTTGTGACAGTTTGTGCCCATCATGAGGTGTTTTACCTTCATAATGTTCGATGGGAAAAGGCACTGTTGCATTGTCCTTATTTTTTTTTACAGTCGTTGGTCTCTCCCTGTCATCTGTTTTAACCATTCAATCAAATCATGATGTGGAAAACCAAGCACCACTCCTCTGTTTTGTTTTGTTGTTTTTTTTAATCATTTTTATTTTTCATTAGTTTTTTCTCTTAATTGTGTGCTTAAACTAGTGTACTTCATGCTGAGTAAAACACTGCCCTCTGTTTTATTATATCTTACACGTTTATCATGTTATGGCAAAGCTAAAACCATTTTTATATAAATTAGTACAATTCATCAGTGTTTGCTATTGTTTTAGAGCAGTCACTGAGTTTTTCGCAGCTTTAAAGAGTGAGCTGTAGGATATATTCAGACCCATCTCTCATTAGATTCGGTGTCAATTGAACGTTGAACAACCTTTGCGATGCCTTGTGCCCCAAAAAACAAGATATTTCAGTAAAACGTAGTTCAGGGTTTTTAAATAAAACTGGTCTCTAGACTTTGGAAATTACTTTTTTTTTTTTTTCTTGTGAGATGACTCTTATATTCACACACGAAAAATGCTGGGTTCTATACAATTCCTATTGTTCTATACAGCAAAAAACAATTAAGTTAATTTAAAATTTTTTACAAACTTATGTGGATTAAACATAAAACAATTATGTTGCCTCCCACCCATTCAAAAAATGTAAGAACTACATGGTTTTACAAATTGTATATAAATGAACTAAACTAAATTGTCCAAATTTGAAAACAAAATGTTCCATTGAAGATAAAAAATACTCTTAAATAACTTCCATCTGAAAGAATCAATAATTAATCAAAAATTACTGACAGTAAACTAATGAAAGTCAGATATTGCTTTCGAAATGTGGTTCGAAGCATTAAAAAGGCGAACTAATGAAACTGGCCTGGGAAAAATTGAAGGTTGCAACAAGGTTGTCTGTATGTGAAAAATCTCTTTAAGGATTACAGTGTAGCGCAGGAATATTAAATAATTGTTAATGTTTTTCAATAATAAATGTAAATGTATTATTACATATTCTTTGTGGGTTTTAATATTGTCATATTTCACATTTTATTATCACAAAAAGTTATTTTAAACATTAAAAAATAGGACCTATTACGCAAAATCACTTTTATAAGGGCTTTAAACACAGTTGTGGGATAGCAATGTGTAAATATAAGCAGCTTCTAACGATAAACAGTTATTAATTCTGTTTTTTCATAATCACACTTGATCAAAACAGACTGCAGAAACGCTTTGATTGACATTCTCCCATTGTACGTGTCATTAGAGGGGGAAAGCCCCGCCCATTAGTGACCATCTCTCCCTCACTAGCATACACAGCCCTGAGTGAGAAGCAGCTGTGAGCCATTGGAGTTTTGAATCTGCTGCTTTGGCATTTGTAAGCAATTGTAGCTCCGCCCTCTTTTGAAAAAGAGCACAATCTCATTTGAATTTAAAGCGACAGTCACCAAATTGGCATAATTAGGATGAAAGCCTAAAAGAGTCAGTTTCAAGGAGCTATAAAACATTATTTGTGTTGTATTTTGAGATGAAATTTTTCAAACACACTTTAAGGAACACCAGAGACTTATTTTACACCTTGTATGAAGGGGCATGATAGGTCCCACTTTAAAGTAGTTCACTCTATGAAGTATTAACTTTCCCACATTTATTTGGATACTGAAATCAAATTAAGTCTTCATCTTTGACCTATGTTTGGTTTTGATTTGATTTTTAAATATTTTTGGTTTCCTCAGTAAATGTCTTGTCTGATTAAATGCACCATCTTCTGTTCCCCCAGGCTGAGACTGCTCCTGATGGTCCTGATGTGGGATACGGCTCGTTTCATCAGCAGTACTGGTTGGATGGCAGAATAGTAGCCGTGGGGGTTTTGGACATCCTGCCCTCTTGTGTGTCCTCTGTGTATCTGTACTACCACCCCGACTTCTCCTCGCTCTCACTGGGCACCTACTCTGCTCTCAGGTCAGTCTGTTTGACCGCTGTTCATAGATTACACCTACAGCTGAAAATGAAATTATTAGCCCTTTTGTGAAATATTAATATATATTTTTTTACAAATATTTTTTTAAGAGCTGTTTAACAAAGAGAAGATTAAGCATAATAGTTTAATAACTAGTTTCTAATTACTTATTTCTTTAGTCTTTGCCATGATCATTCATTCATTTCGGCTAAGTCCCTTTATTAATCTGGGGTCGCCACAGCGGAATGAACCACAAACTTATCCAGCGTATGTTTTACACAGCAAATGCCTTTTCGGCTGCAACCTGCCACTGGGAAACACCCATACACTCCTATTTACACACATACACTATAGACAATTTAGCTTACCCAATTCACCTATTGTGCATGTCTTTGGACTTGTGGGGGAAATCAGAGCACCCGGAGGAAGCCCACGCTAACATGTGTAGAACATGCAAACTCCACACAGAAACGCCAACTGACCCAGCCAAGGCTCGAACCAGTGACCCACTGTGCCACTGCGCCACCCTGCCATGGTAATAGTATATAATATTTTACTAGTTATTTTGCAAGATACTAGTGTTCAGCTTAAATTGACATTTAAAGGCTTCATTAGGTTAACAAGGCAAGTTGGGTTAATTAGGAAAGCCGTTGGACAACTGTGGTTCATTCTGTAGCCAATGGGAAACAAAAATCCATAAAAAAAGGGATGAAAATATTGACCCCAGGAGTTTTGTATTCCTGCCAAACTACAAGAAATAAGACTTTCTCCAGAAGAAAAATTTAATGAGAAATACTGTGAAAAAAGTTATTGTTTTGTAAAACAGCACTCTGGAAATATTTATAATTGTTATTATTTTATTTTTCAGAGGAGGGTTTTCTATTTTTGTCTCCAATTGTAACAGGTTTACAAATGCAAGTACAAAATGTATAATTTATCATTTAGTTGATATTATTATTATTATTATTATTATTATTATTTTTATTATTATTATTATTATTATTATTATTATTATTATTGTTGTTTTTATTATTATTATTATTGTTATTATTATTATTATTATTAATCTTATTTGAGCTTAAAAGGGTAGTTAACTCAAATGTAATAATTATTGACCCTCCTATGATGACTTTTCCTCTTAAGTAGGTCATACACTGTGGTCCAAAGTGATTTATAAAATAATGAGTCGAGTGTTAAAAATATATACAGGCTGTTAATTTATTTACCCTACGGGTGAGTAAATTTATCCATCTATGATGTGGATGAAGTTTTTTTTTTTTCCTCATTAGAGCAAATATGAGCTGAGTTGAGCTGAATTTGTGGTCCTTGGTGATTCATGTAATGGAAGTGAATAATATATTCAAGTCAAGTCGAGCTTTATTGTCATTGCTCTACATGTGTGGACATACAGAGAAACAAAATGTTGTGTCTCGCAGGACAACAGTGCTACATAGACTAATAATAAATACAATCATAACAGTGGACATAAGAGCTATTAAAAAACAACCTATGCATAACTAACATACAGTGCATCCGGAAAGTATTCATAGCGCTTCACTTTTTCCACATTTTTTAATGTAACAGCCTTATTCCAAAATGAATTAAATTCATTTAACTCAACATTCTACACACAATACCCCATAATGATAATGTGAGATTTTTTGTGTGCAAATTTATATAAAAAACAAAACAAAACTGAGAAATCACATGTACATCAGTGTTCACAGCCTTTGGCGTTAAGCTCTAAATTGAGCTCAGGTACTTTCTGTTTCCACTGATCATTTTTGAGGTGATTCAGCAGCTTAACTGGAGTTCCCCTGTGGTCAATTCAGTTGATTGGACATGATTTGAATAGGCATACACCTGTCTATATAAGGTCCCAGGGTTGACAGTGCATGTAAAAGCACAAACCAAGCATGAAGACAAAGGAATTGTCTGTAGACCTCCGAGACAGGATTGTCTCGAGGCACAAGGCTGGGGAAGGTTACAGAAACATTTCTGCTTCTCTGAAGTTTCCACTGAGCACAGCGGCCTCCATCATCCGTAAGTGGAAGATGTTTGAAACTACCAGGACTCTTCCTAGAGCTGGCCGGCCATCCAAGCTGAGTGATCGGGGGAGAAGGGCCAGGGAGGGAGACAATAACCCGATGGTCACTCTGTCTGAGCTACTACGTTCTCCTTTGGAGAAAGGAGAACCCTACAGAAGGACAACCATCTGTGCAGCAATCCACCAATCAGGCCTATATGGTAGAGTAGCCAGACAGAAGACACTCCCCGCCTGTAATTTGCCTAAAGGCATCTGAAGGACTCTCAGACTATAAGAAACTAAATCCTCTGGTCTGATGAGACTAAAATTTAACACGTTGGAGTGAATGACAGGCGTTATGTTTGGAGAAAATCAGGCACCGCTCATCACCAGGCTAATACCATCCCTACAGGAAAGCATGGTGGTGGCAGCAGCGGGACCTGGAAGACTAGTCAGGATCGAGGGAAAGATGAATGCAGCAATATACAGAGACATCCTGAATGAAAACCTGCTTCAGAGTGCTCTTGACCTCAGACTGGGGCGACGGTTCATCTTCCAGCAGGACAGTGACCCGAAGCACACCGCCAAAATATCAATGGAGTGGCTTCACAACAACTCGGTGAATGTCCTTGAGTGTCTTAGCCAGAGCCCAGACCTAAATCCTATTGAACATCACTGGAGAGATCTGAAAATGGCTGTACATTGTTGCTTCCCATCCAATCTGATAGAGCTTGAGAGGTAAGAAGCCCAAAGAGCAATGGACAAAAATTCCCAAAGACAGGTGTGCCAAACTTGTGGCATCATATTCACTTGAGACTTGAGGCTGCAATTGCTGCCAAAGGTGCATCAACAAAGTATTGAGCAAAGGCTGTGGATACTGATGTACATGTGATTTATCAGGTTTTTAAATTTTTTTTTATGAATTTGCAACAATTTCAAAAACTTTTTTTCACATTGTCATTATGGGGGATTGTGTGTAGAATTTTGAGGATATAAATGAATTTAATCCATTTTGGAATAAGGCTGTAACATAACAAAATGTGGAAAAGGTGAAGAACTATGAATACTTTCCGGATGCCCTGTATATTATAAGATACTTAATTAAACACAGAGGCAGGCTATGCAAGCACTTTAACATGAGACTGAAGAATGTTGTGCAGGATATTATGCAAGAGAGAAATTAAAGGTTAACATCGTGCAAAAGAGGTATTTACGGTTTAATATTGTACAAGAGTTATTTAAGGTTGAAGCAAGTAATGTGGTATATTTATAGTAAACATTGCTTTCATTATTGAATCCTTGCAAGCTTTTAAGGAGTTTAAATAAAGTGTCAGGTGCATAAGAGTTACGAGTGATTCTGCAGGTGGTTTGTCAAGCCCACTCGCCTGACTGAAGCACAATGAGCACTTTAGAAATTCATATAAGGGTAGTGAAATATTTTTTGTGGGTTAATTAATACTTAAAATTGAATATGCTTGGGCATTTGATGCTCAATCCTGTCTGAGGTTACAGCTTTTTGGCCACCACTTCAACCACTTGGCTACACTACTTACCAGCTCAAGTTTACAACCATTCATGCTGCAGATTCTTCCAATCAGTTATTTGATTTCCTTGAACACAAGCAGCACAGGAACATTTTTTAAAATGTGTTTAGGTTTCCTGTACGCATACTGGAAGCCTATGCTGGCATTTCTCCTGCGGTCTTGCTATCAGTGTGTGAAGAGTGGGAGAAGAGGGTTGCATTGACCATCCAACACAATGGGCCGCACATTGAACACATTTTATAGGTGGTCAGAAACTTGTAAATAACTCATGAAAGATTAAAGTTACGTTAAAACCAAGCACACCATTGTTTTTCTTGTACAATTCACAAGAATTTTGATGAGTCGCATGACCCTCTTCCTATTGACAAAAACAACAGTTGGACCCAAGATGGCCGAATTAAAAATGCCCACCATGGTCACCACTAGGGGTGTCACGATTCCGATTTTTAATCGAAATCGATCGAAATTTATGCTCAATTTCGATTATCGAATCAAAAAATAGAATCGTCGATGCTGCCACGCCCCCATGTCGCGTCAGCTTGGCTTGCCAAGCGGGAAAAAAACAGGCTTGTTGAAGTGCTTGTTAAACTGCAGAAGCAGGAGACCCGTCGACAGAACTTAAACCCTCTCCTCTTTCAATGAAGTCGCCGGTGTGTAAGCATTTTGGATTTCCAGTGAGTTATGTTGACAACGTTCGTGTTGTCGACAAAAAAACCCCACAGTTTTGCTACATAGCTCTGCTATGTACGTATTACGTACAGTTCGTCCGATAGACAACACCGGCATCGCGATCCTCCGCCCGCCCCCGTTGCAAATCTGCTCGCGAAAAGTACACACTCAGGCCCTGTTTACACTGTCTTTGTTTTTAAATGGCATTTTAGAACGACAACGATTTGAAATCCACAGTGGCGTGTAGCATTTCTGAGCAGCCCTCCTTCCTCACTACCTCTGAAACATCACGTGACCACACAGACACAGACGCATACACAGCCATGCGCTCGAGACAGCAGGTCCAGGCAGTCAGAGGACTGCTTCAATCTTTCACTCACTAGTACTTAGTCATTTTAGCAAACACCTCAGATACTGTTGGCTGGTTCCTGTTGGTTGTGCGTCTTTCTTTACCGACGCCATTATAACGACACAGATCACTGCCTATTCACGAGTCCCGCAGAAAAAGTGATTGACAGGTGGTAATTATGTGTGTATCTTGCCTTTATTCATTTACTGTATGATTTGTTTATGGGTAAAACAAAGACCATGCAGGTCAGGTAGTTTAAACGGTAGGCTACAAATAATTAATTGGTCATTAATTAATTAATTATTCATAATCGAAAATCGAATCGAATCGTGCCTTTAGAATCGAAAATGTAATCGAATCGAGGATTTGGAGGATCGTGACACCCTTAGTCACCACCCATTTAGAAAAGTTTGC